GGTCCACTATGTGAGTGCTGCTTGTGGGACTGAGGTTGTTGTGGCTCCTTGGACTGATGAAGTCCTTTGGATGAAGGACGAAATGTCTCAACAACGAAAAAAGAAACCGTCCAGATGACCTGACTAAACTTTGTTGAACCAGTGTCATTTTGACAAAGGATCAGTTTAAAATGGGATCTTTTGGCACTTTCCCCTGTAGCTTCTCACAAAAACTATTTTGTCCAATTTCTTTAGCTGAATCCATAAAAATACTAATGAGAACCCAGTTTAGTCAGAAAACCTTTTCCAATATCTTTAATATTTTATAACTTTATCACTTTTAAAGATACTATTAATCTGCAAGGAATAGCTTTTTATTTTTATTTTTAGGCCTGATGCTTTTCTTATTTTATTAAGCTCACACTGAGCAACATGCTTAAATACAAGGTTTGGACAAAAAGGGTATGAAAAGCAGCCAGAGTTTAAAAATAAAATAAATAAATAATGATAAAACACTTGATCAAACTTTATTTAAAATATTACAGGATTTTTTTTTAAATAAAGTGTAAAAACATTTCAATCTTATGAGCAGATCTAAATAATAAGTTTTTTTGCTCTAGATATTTATTAGAATGAAATGTTAATTGTGCAACAAAGAAGTTTTTCTTATTACTCCACCACTTAGAGAAGGTGGGCCTGTGATCGGAAGATTGCCGTTCAAGCCCCGGTACCGACAACATCAAAAATGTAGGTGGGGTAGGTGAAGCACCCACACCTGCCCCCACCCTCATTCGCCCCATCCTGTGCCCATGAGCAAAGCCCTTAACCCCCATGTGCTCCCTAAACAGGTCTCTCTTGAAAATGAGTTCTCGTGGCTCAATGAGACTACATGTATAAATAAAGGCTAAATGAAAAAATAATAAAAATGTTCCTTATTAGAAGCCAGTGTTAAAATATCTGTTACAGAAACGTCAACCATCTCTCCACCTCGCAGTTATAAACCTGATGACTCCTGCCAGCACAACAGAAATAACTTCTGACAAGTTTGGTGAGGTAGAAAAGACAAATATCATTATGTCTTATGAGCATTTCCGTCTCCGTGATCATCACTGTCTGTCGTCGGAGTGAAGGCAAACGTGCTCATGCACGTTTCACTAGAAAGCTGCACAAGAAGAAACTGTATTCTCACAGCTGAGAGGAGCTGCACTATGTGCCCTCTTCCCTGAGGATGACTCTCTCTGACAGAGATGCACCTGTCTGCCTCTGCTTCACGCTCACCGAGCTCCTTACCCTGCTCTGACCTCGCCCTCGCCCCGAGCTGCACGTGTCTCCACAGCCAAATGCACGACTCTGCAGGAAACTCGCAGATCTACGTCTCTCCTATCATACAAATGTCAAAGACATTTAGCATTCAGGATTGCAGCTCCAGGAAGGTTGAGCATTATTTGTTGAACTTGAGCTGTGCTCTAGATCAGGACTATTAAAGTGAACTGCTCAGGGGCCACAGCTACTGGGAGTCAAGATATCAGGGGCCAGACATCCCGCAGTTGTTCTCATTAAGTAAGTTTGTTTAATTAGTTTGATTTAAAAATGAACCTATTGGTGGGCCGAATTGAGCACACCTGGGCCTGATTTGGTCCCCGGGCCGCCAGTTGAACAGCCCTGCTCTAGATGGTCATGAACTGATTTTTAAAGACGTTCGTTGACAGTAGCCTATTAGGGATTATTAGACACATTTATACTTAAAGATACTTAAAGGAGGGGAGTGTAAGGGATAGTTTGGGAGTCAGCGTCTTACCTGCGGTACACATAGGTTACTGATAAAGTTAATTAATGCTCAAAAACAAGCCCAATGGAAAGTTTGTGAACATTTTTTAAACCAATATTTATTTTATTCATTTATATAAATAAAAATGTTGAGGTTTGTTTGAAATGGGGAAAAATAAAATTTTCTGGTTCCGCACCCCCACAATATCTGGATTATTGAGCCTGAATCAGGATGTTTTGAACCACTTTGACCATGGCTGCATCAAACAAGTCGGTGGAGGATATAGGGCAGACTACAAAAACCATATTAGCACCATCAAACTGGTTGACTCACTCTGGCATTGCAGGTCTCTTTTGTAAATGAGTCCATGAGGCTCAGTGGGATTACTCTGAATAAATAAAGGTTGAATGAATGTGAAGGTGCTATTGCAACCGTCCAGAGGGTCTGACTTAACTTTGTTGAATTTTTTTATCTGGATTATTTTGCATGAAATTTGGTAATTTTCTGGCATTTTTTAATCTGAGAGATTTGTTCTTTTGTAATCCTTCCCGTCCCTCCAGAGTTGAATGCTCCACACAGCAGGTATGATGTACATCACACAACCCAGTCTGAAGCAAATCATAAGTAATCATTGCTAATAATAAATATTAAACAGCTGTTAGAGCTCTGCGGAAGAGAGAACATGCAAACTCCGTACAGAAAGTGTTAGACGGGTGCACAAACATTGTTCATGTGACTGAACAGCCAAGTTCCCTGAGCCTTGAGCAACACGTCTGATGGAAGTCGGGGAGGTGAGGCAGACGGGGTGCATTAGGTCGACTCATGGCCTGAGTGAGAAACAGCCTTATCAGAGAAACCAACACACTTGAGGACGCTTGCAGGACCCAAGGGACACTTGCACAAAACTGTTGCAAAGTATCTTATAATCTTTTGAAGCTCAACTTCTCTAGCACGGCAGAATTTCCATAGTGAGAAAAGTGTTTCCAGCAGACTCGCCTGACGTCTGCAAGACTTTAGAAAATGACTGATACAATTAAACTAACAAGTTTCAGACTTCGATTCGTTACAGAAAAAGTTTCCATTTGCAGTTTTTTGGAGCGGCTGTGGCTGAGTGGTTAGAGAAGTCCTCCTCCAACGCAAGAGTTGGGGGTTCGATTCTACCTGCAATCACATGCTGAAGTGTCTCTGGGCAACACACTGAACCCGTCGTTGCCTCCAGTGTGTGTCCCATCAGTGTATGAATGTGATAAAGCACTGATGTAGAGATCTAGTAGAGTGCTGTATGAATGGATTAATGAGGACACAGATTGTAGAGTAAAGAGCTTTGAGTCTCTTGATTCGATAGAAAGCACAATATAGGAGTGATTCTAGAATTTGACCTTTAGGGGTGCTGAGCCTCCAGGGCTGACAATGGCTCTTAGCTTGAACAACTCAGTGGCCAGTGACAAGAGAAGCATTTGCAATGCGTGGGAGACACACTGGGGGTCCTCCCCCAGAAAATTTTGAATAAAGTAGATGCCATTTTGTGCATTCTGGTGTATTTTAACGGATTGTTAAACATCTATGTTTACATACATATGCAAACATGTGAATCAATAACTATTTTAGAGAGCACGGCAAAACAAGAAGTAGCCTGACCAACAGCTCTCCTTGTGTGAGTAGAGCACGCTCAACTTCTCTCATGTATCTCAACACCCCGCCTCCATCTCCGGTCGACAACTGCTGACAACTGTATTGTGGTGCACAATACAGACACGCTAGCTACTGGACTGATTGACAGGTGGCATCCAGGATTTGACTCATGCAAAAAATAAAAAATAAAAAGATTTTACTGGCCCGTTTGACTGTCGTCATTTAGTCCATATTTATTCAATATTTTGGTGAATCTAAGGTTTGAGAACTGAGTTTCCTTACAAATTCCTAACGATGGTTCCGAGTCAAAATTTAGGGGTGCTTGAGCACCCTCAAAAAGGGGCTAAAATCACCACTGGTGCTATACAAGTACAATCCATTTACCATTTTTTAATAATAAAAAAAAAAAAATAGACAAAATATTAACCGCAGTGAAATTCTGAGTTCCTGTTCATCTCAGGACGCAGTGATGTGAAAAAAATCAGAACACTGATTTCTGTAACTCTGAAACAAGACATATTTTGTTACAGCTGTCAAACAACCTGTTTGGTGGAAATTCATAGTTTTCAGGAAAAAAAAATCTACTCTCATATTACAGATGTGTTATATGTCCAGGGTACAAGGCGTTATTGATGAAGGTGTTCTGTTTTGCCTAAAGAAGATTGTTAACAAGGTTTTCTCTGACGGCGCACTCAAACTTTGCCTTTAAGCTGACAGAGGAGCTGTGCTGCGAATAAGGAGCTAAACCTGTGTAATCTCTCCTTCCTCCTCATCAGCAGGTGGTGTGAGAGCGAGGATATTTTAAACATTTGTTAAGTGAGGTAAGTAAAAGGTCTGATGGCGGCTGCAGAGCTGTGACCATGCACATCTAAACTCTAGTAATAAAAACTCAAACTGAAGGAAGAAGAACTTTGTCTGAATCTCATCACCATGTGAGGCATCGTTGCCTTATTACATCAATACCACCTGAAAAACTGACCAGTATGGTCCACAGCAGTAATTTCAAATCACACTTTAGTTTCTGATTTGTCTTTGTTAAAGATTTGATCTCATACAAACATTAACCTTTTTATCTTACACTTGGTGACCCCTAAGAGTTGTTAAATAAATTATAAACTTCCCATACAGCTGCTCAGGAACCACAGAAATGGAGATTTAGAAACTTTTTGGTAGCATCTGTTTCAAGAACATATATATATATAAAAAAGCCATGTTTAAGTGATTGTGTTTGACAAGCCTCAACATATTTATGGGAAAAACAAACTCATATCCATGTATTTTTTTATAAAGTGTATCAAACCAGTACAGCACCAAACCGGACAAGAGAAAATAAATTGTCTTGTGGAGCAGTAGATAAAACCAAATGAAGGACAAAGTGAGTGGCTGCAGATGGTGCAGGTGTTCCATCGGGTCAAATGAACGGAGGAGTGAAAGGACAGGATGGAGAGCAGGAGAAGCAGAGACAGAAAGTTTGGGAAAAGTAAACGCCAGTAAACGCATCCCAACCTTCACAGAGAGACGTCCCATCCTCATGTTCATTTTATTGTCATCGAACACACACAAAAATTAAAAATAAAATAAAAAAACAACCCTGGTGCGTTAAATAAGGAAACCGGGGAAGTCCTTGATTTTTATTTATTTATTTTTCTGTGACAAATATTTGTCTTGCCAGTCTCTCAACGCCGTTACTGCTTCGTGTTTGTGTTGTGACAGAGAACCATGACACAGCAGTTTGAAAAGGTGACGGTGTGAAGAGTCGAGAAAATGGGGACGAGGCTCAGGAAGGTGAATGTTTGGCTGTGTGCTTGTCTTTTTTCCTCTGTGCAACACGTTTTACACCAGAAGCTTACTCACGCTTGTGTCACTGGATGTGCATGCCAGTGTATGTACGTCTGAGAAGTGTGTGTGTGTGTGTGTGTGTGTGTTGTAGGCCCAGACTTTGGGGATGGGGCCATGCTTGGTGACTAATGTGCGTCCAGCCAGTTCATCCGACAGTCAGTGGGTTCTCCCAGCTATCAGGTCCGTTCCTATTCCTTAGCCTCCAGGAAGAGCGTCTCTTGAGGAAACAACTTGGCCTCCAGCAGGGTCGAGCCTGCATCCAGCTGGGTGATCTGAGAAAAGGTGGGAGGAGAACAGGGACAGGCATTAGACAGTCTTCATTAAAGCGCCGATGCCAACCGCTGATTATTTTTACTAGCACTTAATCAGCTTCACAGATACCAAAAAAATATTGTCTGAACTGCAATTTCAAATGACAACTCCAAATGAAAAAGAAAAAATATTAAAGTGAAACATAAAAGCAGCAAATCTTCAGATTTGAGAAGATGGAAATAACTTCACACCAAGATAGAACAGCAATAAATATTTGTGTTGGCATATAATTTTCTGACAATAATGGCAAACCTCAACCACACAAGGTTAAGCCAGGTCATCTGGACGGTTTCTTTTTTTGTTGTTGAGATGTTTCATCCTTCATCCAAAGGACTTCATCAGTGGAGGAGACACAACAAACTCAGTCCCACAAGCAGCACACTCACACAGCCAAAGTTTTGAACCACTTTGGCTGTGGCTGCCTCAGAGGAGTCGACTGGGGAGAGGGCGGGCCCCAGAAACCATCTTATCATCAGCAAACTGGTTGGTCCACTATGGGAGTGTGCTGATGTGGGACCAAGTTTGGTGCCACTTTACAATAAGGCTCCCCTTATAAATAGCTAATAAATAGTTTATAGTTTATTATATTAAATATATTATTAATGATTATGTTGTTAATTCCTCTATAAACACTTTATAAATCATTAATAATTGTTTATTATTATGCATTAAGGGTGACAGAGACAAAACTGACCAGTTTCTTGCCAAACAGTGAGCCACATCTGTTCACCTATATATTTCATCTGGAGTTGTAATGCAGTGATAAAGTACAATATTATATGTATTATATGTTAAAGAAATTAGGTTTAAAATGCTCATTGTGCTCACAAGGTAGTAACTTAGGCTGAAATGTTTAATGTAACAACTCTAAATTAAATATATGGGTGAACAAATCTGGCTCACTATTCGGCAAGAAACTGGTCAGTTTTGTCTCTGTCACCCTTAACTAATGCATAATAAACAATTATTAATGATTTATAAAGTTTATAGAGGAATTAATAATGTATCTATAAACTATTTATTAGCCATCTATAAGGGGAGTCTTATTGTAAAGTGGTACCCTGAGTTTGTTGTGGCTCCTCGGACTGATGAAGTCCTTTGGATGAAGGATGAAACGTCTCAACAACAAAAAAAAGTTTAGAGGACCTGACTTAACGTTGTTGGATTTTTTTACCTGCATTATTGAGCATGAACTTTGATCTACCGCAGAAGTTTTATTAAGAGTCGATAAGTCTTTAAATCAGTTTTCTCACCATAAGAAAACATTTAGACTTGCTCCTCTGATTCATCCTTATAGGGTCTCAGTTCATTCATGGCCACTGAAATCCCTCTGTGACTGCATTCATTAACGTGTGTGTGTGTGTGTGTGTGTGTGTGTATATCTGCGCACAAGCACGTGAACTGTGTGTATTATTTTAACATGTTTTAAAAAAAAACGTTTCGGCCGAAATGGGAGCAGCAAGAGTTTAGTTGCCCCTATGAGAACAACCTTTGTTTTCTTAAAAAGACTCCAATCCAGAACAAACCGCAGAATGTTTGGTTAATGCTAATAATGGCTAACTTCAGCTGTGGAAAAAGTCACTGAGAAACATTGCTGAAGGTGTAAAGGACAGACACATTTTTACTGGTGCAGAAAACTCGACGCACAAGCAATTGTCTAAAAGGAGAGAAATAAAGCTGAACCACCCACAACGTGGCTGATCGAGTTAGCCGACATAAAAGCGGGGGTCTGACCTGTGTTTTAGAAAACAGAGCAACCTGAATCTCCCTAACACCCACCACCCCTGTTGGCCTCTTAGCTTATGTGAGCTAATCACTGGAGGGCTTGTGTTACATTGGGCCAATCTAACACCTGGGCTGAACGGGTGAGGTGGTGTGACACCGAGATGTGTCCGAGGCTTATCTGATGACTGCTGCATCAGCCCCTCTGATTAGGGAGCCTATTCTAACCTCACAGTGGGATAATTAGCCAGCACCCTGTACCTGCTGTAGAAGGTCAGAGGTCAAGCCATGCACCATAAAGGTCAGACTCCCAACACGGAAAGTCGCAGCTCTCACACAGACAAAATGGGAACAAAATGTGACCCATGACCATGAACTGGACTACAACTTTTCACCTTTTACAAAGTAACAACACACATTTATATCAGTGATGTAGAAGTCAATTTCACAAAATTTCATGTTTTTTATTAATACAATAAAAAAAAACTTCACTTTTAGTTACTTTTCCTAGCTCAATTTGAGTTTGAGTTTATTATCTTAAAAAGTCTTTTCTATAACGTTTTCTCAACTGGAGCGTGTTTGAGGGTGAGGAAAGTGCAAAAAGAGGCCAAATGAAATAAAGGAAGGCGAGGTGTACAACTCGGCATTAGATAAACTATCAGCCTCCCAGAGGTGTTTGGAAATGTCACACCAGATGGAAGATGGGGTCTTGGACCCTGCGTGTTTTCATCTCCATGTGTCATTTAGACTTTTGACTTCTCAGTGGGGTCCTGGTGAGCCTGGTGCTGGCAGGGAGGAGCTGCAACATCATCCTCCAAGTCAACTGCCTCAGAGAGCAGCGGGGTGGGGGTGACATGCCACAAACAGAGCTTGTGTGTGTGCGTTTGCTGCAAACATGCCCCAACCCAACGGTGAAATATTTTCCCACCTCAGAAGCAGTGCGTCACAAATGGCTGCCATGCTAATGAACCCGACAGGCTGTTGTGACACCACAGCATCAGGTAGGAGTAAATGAGGCTTTGGGGTGGAGCAGGTGTGTGTGCAGACGTGTGTCTTTAGAAGACGTGTGAGTGTGTGCGTAGACGAGAGCTTTCAGAGTAAAATCGGGATGAGGTGCTCGTGCTCGGAGGTGCACCAGGGAGAGCCAACAGGGAGACAGCAGCATCTGACTCTGAAAAAGAAAGTAGGGAAACAACATGCCACACTGACACAGGAGACGGGCGCCATCGGTGATTGTTTACATTGTTATCCAATTAACAGACCATAAGCATGGAGGCATCTGTCAACAAACAAAGCTGTTGTTTTTCCTCTGCTCTCTCTAAGCCATATTCTCACTTCTCCTGCCTACACAGCCATACATGAACATATACATGCATACGATAACATCCAGCTCTCTGCTGTGCAATTTGTTTTTAACCTTGAGTCAATATAATTCAACAAAATACAGCAGATTTATGGAACTGTTCAAGAAAATTCTGTGAAAATTTCAATTCAAAGGAAGAACTAATCAACAACTGGGGGTAAAAAAAAAAAAAAAATTCCCATAAATCAACAGAATAAGAACCTAATTAAAATCTTTTTACCTGAGATGAATTTTAAAGCAATAATAAAATAAATAACTGCGGAGCTCTGCACCAGAAAGCCTAATTTTAAATCTGGATCCGAACAAAAAGACAGATGGGGCTTTTCGGCAATCTTTAACATTCTCTCTTTTTCCTGATGAAAAATGATGGGGGGAGTTTAATATCAACTCAGAGTATTTGTCATCAGGGAACAGCAGATTTCAACACAGTTAAAACCACATAATTAGCAATTTATGTGAAGTTTAAAATAAACATCTGAATTGTAAGCGATTTGAATCGGATGAATAAAACACTGATAGCAGGGGAGGCGACGCGCAGCAACGCTCGGCTGTGAAAGAGAAGAAAGGGGAAAAATAAACACAGGCCCTCAAGATGTCCGTTTCCAGCATAATAAAATGTGCAGCTGAAATAACGCATTTTTAATGAAGGCATTACAGGCCCCGCTATGTTAATTAAAACCAAATAACTTGTCTGTTTTAAACTAGTGTTGTCAAGTGTTTATTTGGCCAATTACAAAAGCAGTGGGAGATCATTATCTGCTGCCAGGAGCGTTGACAGCGTGTAGTGCTGGGGCGTGAACAGAAAAGAACAGAGAAAGAGTACGGTACTTCAAAGGGGGACAAACACTGCACAGACTGGACGGGGGGAGGACTGAAAGAGGAGGGGGGGGGGGGAGAGTTGGAGAAGAAAACAACAAGCAAAAGAAAGAAAATGACAGACTAGTTTGTGCTTTAAAAGATGTTAATAAGTGTTATTTAAGATTTAAAAAGTTGAGAAAAGTTTGAGAAATTTGAGTAAAAATATTTGACCAGAAAAGCAGAAGTTTAGAGAAAGACTGGAGCAAAAAAAGACGGAGATGGAGGAATTGAACGTATTAGAGGAGAAGGTTGAAGACAGAGGCTGATAATGAAATATAAAACTCCGCTGTTTTGGCAAACCTGTTTTAAAATGTATAAAATAATCTGTGTCTAAATCAAACTACATCTTTTCCTCCTCAGGTACAGAAAATATCAGTATCTGAAAATATGTTTCCTGATAAAAGGTTAAGGACAATAAAATTACATATTGCCGAAAAGTCCCCTGTCAATGGATGTTCACTTAAAAACAAAAAAAAAAATACCTATTTCTACAAAAACCTCTCAAGTTGCAATGTCATAAAATCTTGGCTACTGTGCAAAATAAATAACTAGAGAAATTGCATTTTCGCAGGAAATGCAATGTGAATGCTTATTGCTAAAGAACCTGCTGAAAAAGAGCTGAAATTAGCTAAAAACATGCTGAAATGTTGCTGAAATTGAAGAACAGGCCTAAGTTAGAAGAAAACAAAAAGAACACATATTTGCTGAATTTAGTTTAAATAAGCAGAAATGAGCAGAAAACAAAGTCAACTTGCTAAAAGAAAAAGCTGAAATTAGCACAAAAAAATTGCTGACTAGTAGCTGAAAAGGCAGAAAGAAGCTTAAATTACCAGAATGAAGTGGAGAGAGAAGAATTGTGCCCAATTAGGCTGAAAGAAGCAGAAATTAGCACAAAAAGTGGAAATAATCTGAAAAAAGCAGAAATGCGCAAAAACAGCTGAATAGTAGCTAAAATGTTTAAATTACCAGAAGGAAGTGAGAGCTCATTGTTGTTGAAAAAGGTTTAAAGTGAAAAAAGTGGAATTAGCAGAAAAAGCTATAATTAGCATAAAACAGCTAAATAGTAGATGAAATAGCTGAAACTTGCAGAAATAAGCTGAAAGGAGCATAACAAGCTCAAATTAGTAGAAAGAAATTAGAAGAAGCACAAAAATGTTAGTTAGCAGAATAAAGCAAAAAGGAGCACAAAACAGCTGAAAAAAAACCGGCTGAAATGAGCTGAAAGTAGCTGAAAGTAGCTGATTTTTTTTCTTTGAACAAGGAAACTGAAAGAAGCTGAACCAGAACAGAATGTGAAAGAAGCAGTAAAAGGTTGTAAACAGATCTAAAGATCTGAAGGATGTAAAATGAGCTCAATTCATTTTCTATGAGAAAAAAATGGCAGAAAAGGCTAAATATTTAAAAAAAAGCTAAAGTTGCACCAATGCCAAAAGTCATAGCAGGATTGTCCTGAAAGAGCTGAATATTGAACATTGAACGTGAAATAACACAAAACTTGTGGAACAAGAAAAATGCAGAAAAATGTACAGAATAATTTAAAGAACCTGGAATAATAAATATAAACAGGATCACAATAGTGTGAATGCTTAGTAAGCATTCACACAAATAACTAAATAAAAATACTTCTTGTAAGTAAAGCCTCAATTATTTTCATAACCATCCTCCAACAACATGTTGCACAATTAATCTGCACAGTTTGCATAACTTTCTAAATATTTAAAATATTGTTTTTCAAATATATTTAAAACAGCACAATTTATTTAAAACATAAGTTTGATTTATTTCTTACTGAAGCGAGTACTTGGGGGTCTACTAAAGTAATATCCTAAAAATCTTTACGCAGAGGATGAGCCTTTTTAAAAGTTTCAATCAGTTTGGAAACTTTTAAAAAGGCTCATCCTTCAGAGGGTAACCTGAGAACAGCACAGAAGTTAGAAACTGCACAAAATACCTTTCTGCATAGAAACAATAAATAAAATTTAAATCAGCCAAGAAGGATTTTAAGCAGAGAAACAAAAGCCCCCACACTCACTCCTTACGGTCCGATGGAGCCACAGAAGCCACACGGCTCTAGCAATTTAGATGTTAGATAAAGAAATGTTTATTAAAAAAAGTAATTTGTAATAAAACTGCAAGCACAATAAACAGAAGTTTAAACTTTCTGTCTATCTTTCTATGACTCTCAGACAGTAAGACAAGAAAAATAAAACACGGCAGTAAAACAGATGTTAAACCTATTTCAGAGCAGACCACAGCGTCTTCTTTGTCATTGCTTATTTTTTCTGCATCTCAGATTTTGTGTCCGAATGATTCTGGCAAATTCCCCGCCAGAGCTGGAAGAGGGATCAGGGAAATGGGGACATAAAAGTACAGTATCACTGTGAGAAAACACTTGACATTGTTTGGATGTCTACAAGCGGCAGGACAGGAAGAGCCGACTGCAAATGATTTTAATGGCAGTCTAAACATTTTCACCGCACGCTGAAGGAGGACAAGCCACAAGGCTTTTAACAGAAGTTCTGCTTTAACAAGTATTGAATATGAAAAGAAGGGGAATTCTTGAATGAAAAGCTAAAAAGTGAAACACTGAGGTTCCCCCTCTTCCCTCCCCTTCTTCAAACTCGCCGACAGACATAGAAACTGAGACAGGGTTAGTTCCCTGAGCACGGCTAAGCCTGGTACAAATGATGCCAGTGTAAGGCCTGCTGTAGTGCTGAAGAGATAAGCCACTGATACCAAATGTTGAGGAAGAGACCGAGTCCAAAAAGTGGAGACTAATAGACACTTACTGGCTAATGAACAAGAAGTTAGAGATGCACGTGGTTAAAATCAGTTTTCCAGGTGAGCAATTTTGCATTAACAACCAAAAAGCACAAAATCCCCTTCACTTTATTATCTAAAGTCAGATTGTGGAGATTTACTCCTTTGTTTTACAGCTGAAAAAGAAATTACACAAAGGTGAAGAGGTTGCAACACCAACAGTGTGACACGGTGCAAAACTGCTGAAAACTAAAGAAGGGGAGGAAAGGTTTCAACAGTTGTGCAGTTTGACAAATGCAATAGTGCTCCATCCTCTTTCCTCTGAGCCTGGCAGAGCAACAGTGAGAGCGTCTGGATGGGATGGAGGCTTTCTATGCTCCCTCTCATTTAATTACAACACAGAGCTGCAGGATTAGACGGGGGCCTGTGTTCGCAGCCTCTTACTGGCACCAACACTGAGCTATTTCCCTCCTCTCTTCCCCTAAATCTCCCGCCTTTCTGTTTTCTGGAATTATCTCTCATCTTCTACTTTTTAATATCTTCGCCACTTGTCTTCTCTATCCTGTTCTCTTTCAGACTGTTTCTCTGATCAAATCTTTTCTTTGTTCAAGCGTTTGTCCTCTCTGTTGTCTTTGCGCACTCGTTCTGCAATCGTCGTCCTCCTCGAGGTTTTCTCCACCCCCCCCACCCACTCTAATCCTCCCATCCTGTTTTTGCTGGAATTTCATCTGCGACGCAGGCACATCTTTATCTCTGTCTCAAACACATGTTTACTCTTGATTATAAAGAGACAACTGTGAATCCTTTAAGTGACAAAGTTGTGAGCGGGGCATGTGTTTGCTTGAAAATATTTGTGTATGTGTTGAATTGTGCGATTGTGACGAAAACGGGAGTGTGAGCTACGCATTAATGTGTGTGTTAGGTGTTTGTGCCCCGGCGGTCTCTGCAGACTAGAATGGCACACTGCCTGGGCAAGCCTGCCCTCCCCCCCAACACACACACCTCTATACAATCACCACCACCCTGCCGCATCCTCTCCTGCCTTGATTAATGGAACTCTAGCAGCATGGCTAATTAAACTGGTGGTTAAAACAGCGCTTACCTTAAAACTCTACCACAAAGCATGGCGACCAAGCCCTCTAATGACTGATTTGTAGCTAGCTGAGAGCTGCCAGGCGTCAACACAAGAGCCGTAGAGAATACTACTGTTAGTGCTGACAACTGTATCCTAACAGTCAAAATGCTGCAGGCACAACGGACCAATAATAATTAATATTCATTAAATAACACATGCACATTGAAAAACAAATGACTTAACACACGTGCTCCATTTACTGAAGCAGAATTTTTCCACTTCCTGTTTAATAAAGTTTATATCAAGTAACTTAATACTGTAACCCATTAAGACCTGATGTATATCATGGATCTTGCATATTAGACACCTTTTGGCTACCTCAAACTTGAATGAGTCAGATGTAACGGCTCAAGTTTAATATGCAGTACAGTAGTTTCTCGTTAATTTGCAGTTCGACTTTCGCGGTTTATCAAAGTGAGATTGAACACGAAAAAAAAAATTTGTATACGACACACGATTGTCAACGTTAATATTACTCACATGATTGGGACAGTGCAGGATGCTGTACAGCAAAAAGTTAACAAAAAAATAAAATACTTTGGACGGGTGCCGCCATTTTGTAGTTTTCTCTCAATAAGCCGACACTGTATCCCCAATCGTAACGACTACATTTCCCAGAAGCCAAAAGTGCCCTGCCCAGAAGCCCTGCTGCCTTCTGCTGAAATATTAGAGGGAATGTTTTGATCTGATCAAAAAAGTTTGGCACTTATTACAGTAACTTGGCGCCCAGTGGATACTGAGAACCGCATGGAACTCACTGAACCAGAGCAGAACAGGACCTCCAGACTCATCGGCAAATCCGAAAGTTGGTAGCCGGTACACGAGGACTTCCAAGCAGGGATGCGCCACCGTAGATTTGGCTTCTCTCTGGAGCCCACAGAGACTTTTTTCATCCAGATTTGTTTTTTCATCCAAATTTGGTCCCATGATGGCCATCCGAAGCGCAACCCCCCCCCCAATATGCATTTTGATGCTTAAGAGCTGCACGAACCGGATCTCCAGACCCATCGGCAAATCCGAGAGCTGGTGGTCGGCCCACGAGGACTTCCGAGCGGGGGGACGCATCACTGTAGGTCCGGCTTCTCTCTGGATCCCACCACCACTACCATGAACCTGAGAGACGACCAGAACCAGCAGGGTAGGTTCGCCGAAGCGGAACCAAGTTGGAGCGGAACAGAGCCGCTGCTGTTCTGCAGAGCTGGTGAGTAAAATTTAGTAGCTACATAGAAGTATGTTGTTAAAATGACGTAGGTGTAAGAGTTTAGAACATTGCAAGAGTGTGGGAAGGGTTTCTAAAGCCTTAAAATATATGTATATATATGAATACTAAAATGTAAACCCCACAATAAATGAGGGAGTAGTTTAATAAATTTGATATCTGAGTGATTTCAAAGTAAAATAAAATTCTGGTGATGTGTCTTTATCATGTCTAATCACATTCAAATGTCAGCTCAAGCTGATTTTTCACCGATACAACTCTGCTATCCAATATGTTTGTGACTAACTACAGGTACTTTCTTATTTTTCCCTGTCCTGACAAGGGTTTGTGCTTGAGAAAAAGAAAATAATTTCAGACATTTTTTCTCCCATGTTGGTTAGAAAGCATTTTTACCACTCACATTTCTACGAGGGAAGGTGGTGAGGAGCTTGAATGCTTCAAAGGGGTATCCTTTGGAGGCCACAAAGTCAAAAAGCACTTGGAGCTTGCAGCTGCCCAGAAAACGCCTTTCCAAAAACTCGCCACTTGGTGTGCGGATTCTCAATTTGCTGATTTGTTCTCCTGACTCGTCCTCTGGCTCTGGAGGTAAAGTTTGCTCCAATGACAAACGAATCGCCTGCGGGGGGGAAAACACATTAGAACATTTCTTTTTTATCAACCGAGTAAAACCACTTTTACACGCAGCACTGTTTTTGCATACAGGTGTTGGTGAGATCCACCTGTCCTCGCATGTGCCAAGACTTCCTTATTACATTTTTTTGACAAGCCAGAGTGGATTCTTGTGAAATAGTTTATATTTTTACAGTGTTAAAAAAGTAACCATGAATGATTCAAACATTTAGGTCAATTAAATTGTGACAAGTTCACCACAATCTTTACCGTATACAACATACACTTTCTTTACACTCTAAGTAAAGTGCTATGTGTTGTCATCAGTGTATGTTCCTATAAAATGGTGAAATTGGTTCTCTGCATTTAACCCATTGCACTGGGATACACCCAGTTGGAGCAGTGGGCAGCTATGTAAGCTGCCCAGGGAGCAATTGGGGATTAGGTATCTTGCTCAGAGACACCACAACATGTGGGAATGGCTGGGGATCGAACCTGGGACTTTCAGGTCCCGAGTCGGCTGCCTTGCCTCTACCCCATCTTGGCCCCCCTCTCAGTTATAAAGTTAGTTAGAAATCTCTGAGAAGGAGTAAAACTGATCAAACCTGACTGGTCTTCTTTAGCATATTAATCACAATAGAAAAGGACACGAGTAAACTAGGTGCGCACCGTCTGCAGTTTTCTGGCCGATCACCGATCATAGATCATAGATTTCTAAAAAATCTGACCTGCCGATTCCGATTTTGGCCGATACAGATTTTATTTTATAAGCGAGCGACACTGTCAGGTGTTGTAAGGTCAAAGTGCACCTTCAATTTTCCAATTTTATTTTATTGAAAAGCATACCCTTGAATAATATCCTAGAAACAATACAAACTTGTTTTAACTGGCCATGAAGTAGTGCTCTGAAATAAGAATGAAGTTCAGACAATTGTTGTTAAAACTACAACAAAAAAAAAAGGGTAAAATCGGTTTCTCATGTAAGCATCGGCCAAGCACGATTACCCAAAATTAAGGAAATCGGGGCCTATTGATCGGTGCACCCCAGAGCAAACTTTGACAAAGTCATGGCTATTACGAATGAAAGAAAATCTGTGAGGTTGTACGAAACCTATACCAACGGTATAGGTTTCAAAGTAACAGATGATGAGACAATATTTAAACAAATGGGAAACAACCCAAAAAATTCCTCCCGTTCTGATTTCTGCACTGTAGCTTCCCATTAATTGAACAAGCTTCTTGTCCTAAGAATGTTATTAAATTAGTTGCCCTGCGTCTCACCCTGTTCCCCAAAGCCTGGCGTAGCTCTGAAGGTTGCCAAGTATCCTATCAGCATGTTAGAAAGAGCCAAGTGTGTTCTTCTTTCATACGTTTTTACTGTTTGCTCCATCAAACTGAGACTGACTCTTCTAAAAAGCTCAACAAGGACAAGAGCTAGTTTAAAGTGTTATTAGAGATTGCTTATTTTACAGACAATAGATGTGATCATGCTCCCCCCCCCCCCTCCCCCCCCCAACGCTGAGCGAGAGTAGCTTATCAAGCACAAAGACAAACATCAACTGTCATCTTTCACAGAGCGGCTAATCAATTCTCCTGAGTTCCAAAAAACGTGCTTCAGCTGCTCCCTCGAGCGTCCCACTTCTTTCTGTTGCCTCCCCACCCTCCCCACCTGCTTGTTGTTCCTGTTTGGCCAGCCGGGGAGCATATGCTGTGACAACACGCCCCGGCTTTATTTACACACCATAATGCAATTATATTTCATAAGAGTGTACAACAGTAGCTCATTAGCAGCTTCTGGTGTTGGATGGGCAGGGTAGGGCGCGTGCCGCTCTGCCATCAGCTCCCCCAGGTATATGAGCTGATGCTGAGTTAAAGGGGCCCCTGGGGGGACAAAAGTCACACACGCAACAGACAGGAGTGTGTCTGCTGGATGTACAAATGCAGAGAGTCAATCTCAGACAGAAGCAGAACCGCCTACACAAGTGAGAAATGGCGTCCCAAAAGAAACCACAGGCCACACGTTTGGTGGAGCCTCGGGCCCCCGGCAGCTCCGCACAAATAATCTGGAGCATCTCTCCATCCATTCATTCATGCGGCTCTGCAGCTCCGCTCGGCTAACCGCAGAGAGCAAACAGATGACGAGCAGGGCAAAGAGAAGCACCTGACAGACACAACCGTATGCTAAGACCCCATGAAGGAGGTAAATAATAATGTCAGCTCGCAGGCTCTCTTCAACCCCACCCCCAATTCATGGACTCCTACTTTCATCTCCCTTCTCTTTGCACAAAGGCACAAAAAACAGGGAAAGCATTCCCACTAGCATTGTCCTCTCTCTGGTGGCAAGTGGGGTTTTTGTTGTGTCTGCACTTCCTCTAATGCACAATGCGAGGTCACCACCTCCCCAGACTCAACTGAAAACTGTAAACAAACAAGGTTGCCAATTACTAATTACAACAGCTTACATTATGGGCTCTTCATATATTTTTTTAAGGAATCGGGAAAAACCACAATTAAAAAGGGTTGCTGATATAAACAGTTCAGGTGAAGAGCTGCAACAAGATGAGGAAAACTGAAACCTGTACACAAGTCTTTAATTTCTAAGTTTATGAAGAAACTAGAAATATAAATGAAACATACTATCGTAAAGTTGTTTTTTGTTTGCATCCAATTTTACAATTAGTGACAGTTAGGGGTGCACTGATTGCAGTTTTTTAGCTGATCATTGATAACTAAAAAATCTGACCTGCCGTTTCCGATTTTGGCCGATACAGATTTTGTTTTATAAGCGACACTGTCAGGTGTTATAAGGTCACAATGCACCTTCAATTTTACAATCTTAATTTGTTGAAAAACATAGCCTTGAACAATATCCTAGAAACAATACAAACTTGTTTTAACTGGTCATGAGGTAGTGCTCTGAAATACAAATTAAGTTTAGACAATTGTTGCTAAAACTACAAAAAAAAATCGGTAAAATCAGTTTCTCATGCAAGTATCGGCCAATCTCCCAAAATTAAGGAAATCGGAGCAGATAAATCGGCCGACTATTGACAACAGCAAACAAAGTTAATATTGTGCTAGACTTCAAATGTAGCTGCAGGTAAATTCTGCACTTCCTGTATAGATGAAGAAATATTGACTGGTTTTTTTATACTAAGTGACAAAAAAGTTGCCCATCAGAAGCTCACAAGTAAAGAAGAAAATTGTCAAATTGTCATTTGCTCATCAGAAGTGCTCCCTCGCAGAAATACCTGAATATGCTGCTGTGAGGAAGTAAAAGATCTCATATTTACAGTATTAATATTACAGCTTGTTAACTCAGGAGATTCAAGGAAAACGGATGAACGTTGGCAGAGGGAAAATTAATTCAAGCAGGAACTACAAAGGGAAAGCAGTTCATTACATCTACACACAGTTTGTTTAGCACACTACACATTGATATAATTAAGGAAACCTTTTCATGTCGTTTGTTTAATTTAAGTGACAAATCATCTGAGCAAGCCGGGTCACCCAATACCTCTCAGTGCTTCAGGCCCTGTGCTGTAGAGTAAACAACAAGCAACGAGGACTACATTGAGTTACTCTGGACTGTATTGCAGCATCCGCGCCATCATTACACACAATTATTGTTTTCCTATACGCGTGACATTGTGTCTGCCTGTGTGTTTTACCTCTACTTCGCAGACAACAATTGTTTTCAAGTGAATATGTGTGTTTGCTTTGGTGCACAGGCCTGTCTACATGACTTGCTTCAGTCTTTTGTCCAGTTGGGTTTGAATATGAGCTCGTGTGCTTTACCAGTAAGAAGGCAGGTAAACCCAACAATGACCATGTTTATGGAGGTGACGAGCAACGTTTGTAATTAGGATATTATTTTCATGTGAAATGGAGTTTTTTTCTATTAGACAGGCTTCAGTGATTGTCACTAAACCCACAATCTAGGTAAATAATTAGAGCAAAGTGTCAGTAAGAAAGAGAATATGACTAAATTCACATAAACATTAGTAGATGGTACAACATGAATGTTTATTATTGCATTGTTAATGATGGACTTTTATTTAATAACTCGAAAATCATTTTAATATGAAACTGTCCTCACCTCCTTCTCCTCCTCCTGTTCTTTTCTCATCCGTTCCAAGCGTACTTGTTCAGCTTCTTCTTTTTCTTGAGCTTCTCTCTGAAAAGGAGAAATTTAATATTAAATAAGTCAACAAATCAAAATATCTGCTATGATGTGTTTCCTACAGTCTCACTATGCTCTGATGCATTATTAACAATGTTTAATACGTTATCCAAACAACCCGCTTTCTTTTTTTTTCTTCCTCCCCTGAGCTCAGAGTTTTAAAACTAGTTTGCACAAATTAAGTTACAATTAAAAGAATGGTTCAGATTGTTTACAGTGGCTTTTTTTTTTTTTTTAGAAAGGGTCTAAATATTTTATATTTTTAACTGTTGTGGATAACCGTTAAACCTCAGTTGGAGAAAATATAAAGATAAAATAAAAAATAGAGTTCAAGCGACCCAACATGGAAGAAGGGGGTAAAGATAATGGAGGGGTGGATGGAACTCTGACCAAACTAACAAGCTAACAGCTAGTCCAACCTAATAGGTTGCTATAAACCATCATTTGCACCCACAAATAATCATTAAATGTTACATCAATAGTGTATGATTAATAAAAAAGGATTATCTGGTAAGTCAGACTCCTTTGGAGCTTGATGCACATGAAACATTGCAGCTGCACTGAACACAGAGTAAAACAGGGCTATTCAACTAAATTGCTCAGGGAGCCACACTTACTGAAAGCCAAGAGCGCAGGGGCCAGATATCCAGCAGTTAATGTCATGAAGTAAGCTTGTTTTATGGTGAAAATCTAGTTTTATTTAAAAGAACCCGTTGGTGGGCTGAACTGAGCTCATCCATAGGCCTGATTTGGCCCTCGGGCCACCAGTTGAATAGCCCTGGAGTAAAATCACTATAAATATGATGAAGATTTACAATGAGCTTTTTCAACCAAAGATGAAACATGTCTGAGTGCTTTATTTTGAAAGTACCTTTTTACGGTCAGCCTCTAAGGACAAACGATAAGCTTCATCCTGTTCCCTTTTCACCGTCTCTCTTGCCTCTCGTTCGTCCTAGGTGGTGAGGGGAGAGGGGATGGTGTAAGAAAAAAAAAAAAAAAAGTTAAACCTGTTTAACTAACCATACAATAAAGGATACACAAGAACAAAACATCTAAGCCAATGCGCCGGTTTTAGAAGCCAAAAAGACCCAGGCATAAAAATATACAGCATGTCAAGTGTGGTTACATACAAACATCAGGTATGAAAGAGTAGCAGTAGAGGGGAATTCATTGTGACTGGGCTGTCATTTACTAGACCCTGAACCTCTTTTATGTTTCTCATTCTCAGTTTCACCCTCCCTTTTCTCTTTCATTCATTCGGCCTCCCTCTTCCTGTTTGTACAGAGGGAAGGGGACAGGCGGCCTTTTTCTTTCTACCTGCTGCGGCTACAAAGTGTTTTATAAAGACTCAGTTTAAAGACGAGTGTCCATTGTGTTAACAGCGCGGCCATTAGTTTTTTATTTTCTGAAGGCCCATGCTGTGTGCCGACCCGGATACGGCAAAGTAAGCTTATTGTGACAATCTGAGGGCTACTGTGCAGAAAGGCAGCTAAGCAAAATGGCAGCGTGTATTGTTGTATTGAATCTGAAAATGCAAAGATACATTTGTGCTTTTGGTCGACATAATAGAGGAACATTGAAAAGAAACTGTAAAAGAATGGTGGATAGGGACAAAAGCATCAAAAGTGCCTGCCATCAATGGACTGGGCCTGAGTCACGCAAACAAGTCACAGAGCGCAGTTCATGTATGAATACCTTTTCAGCTTTTACTAAACGCCCTCAAAAACACTGACGAGCCTAATGTGAGGAGGCATGAAGCTGCGTTCGTCTAGCAGTTATCTCCACAAACATGTGATTTTAAAAGCCTCAACTTTGGAGAAAAAACTGAAACAGATTTACAGCTATTAAATCATGGCTACTGTTCAAGTTGGCACAAAGTGAGCCGTCTTCTAGCGCTGATGATACACTTGGTATTCAGAAAAATCAAGCTGTCACACATTTAATGTTTGCTAACAAATAAAGAGGAAATTCAAATGGCTCTTCTTAATTTGCTGCTCGGTTTGTAATTTTTGGCAAATTTGTTGCCAAAAAAGTTGGGACGCTGTGTAAAATGTAAATTTAAAAAAGGAAAACAATGATTTGCTCAGCTATTAAGCACTACACACTGTATGACAAAAGAGAAAGTTAACATTTATTGTTAAAAATATGGCTGTTGTGAAATTTTATTACAAGAAAATGTTCCAAAATTATGACCAACATTTTTCAAGTGACTTGCTTCATGTCTACTTTTAGGAAAACTTTCTAAGTGTATGATGAAGATCATTTGCAGCAGTACCAAAAGTCTGTACACAGCTCTGGCACTCTCTCTCTCATATTCATATTCATATATATATATATATATATATATATATATATATATATATATATATATATATATATATGTAGATGAACAGATGCTGTGAAATATTCATCAATTAAAACGGATTCCTCATTTTTCTGGACTGAATAAAACGTGCATTGAATTTAATGAAATGTAAACGTGAGACGTCATTTATCTTTGACCCATCAAAATGAATGCGGTCATTTATTTTACAGAATCAAAGTTTAACATCAAACATTTACATTAATTTGGCAAAATATGAAAATAACAACATAGTTAATCAATCAGGAAAACCATACCATATATATATATATATATATATATATATATATATATATATATATATATATGCTCAATATTGTTAATTTATTCATTACCAAATAATGTTTATGTGCAGAAGAGAACCAATATAGACAAGTAGCTGTATTTAACTTTCTTTGGAATTATAATTCTTCTAAAATAAACCAGCATCAGGAAAATCCAGATGAAACTTGTGTAAATAAACCTGATACAGGTAAATGAAGTTAGCAAGAGTGGCACCTTAGAGACCAAGATAAACCCTGACTGCTGGAATTTGTACACGTTTTCATCTGTAGTGCTTTAATAGTCTTATAACACAATAACTCGCCCAGTTTAGCTTGTAACCTTTATAACAAAAGCATGGCCGAAAATAACCTGTAATGTTCACAAATGTTAACAAAACCTGCTGAGTGGTCCCTTGATTAGTAACTACTAAGTCAAAACACAGACAGACATCAGGAGAGACTGTGATGTCAGTGAGGCTGGATGAAATCACAATGAGACTGTCCAAGCTGCTTCTGCTCAGACAAACACAAGTCAGTGTCAAAGTGGAATGTCTGGGGTGGCGTAGCGTTCATGTCTGAGTGTGCTTTGGAAAGGTGAGATGGAAAAAAGGGGAAAAAAAAAATTCCCACAGATCAAAAACATGCATGTTAGGCTGATTGGTAACTCTAAATTGTCCCTAGGTGTGAGTGAGAGAGTGAATGGTTGTTTGTCTCATTTGTCTCTATGTGGACCTGTGATGGACTGGAGACCTGTCCAGGGTGTCCCCTGCCTCTCCCAGTGACTGCTGGATATAAGCACCAGTGACCTCCACGGCCCAAAAAGGGAGAAGCAGGTAAGGAAGTATGGAAGGAAGAAAATAAGGAATAAGTAAATAAGGTAGTAAGGAAATAAGT